TTGAGGGATGGTAAGTTGTCTTGCATCTATGAATCAAAATTTAACGTTTTTGGTAAAAGTGACTCTTGCCAGATCGAATCGGGCGATTTAAGGCATTTTAGAATGTTAGTAAAAGTCTGTTAAATATCCATCGCTGATACAGCAAACACGCTTCTGAAAAGATAGCTTCATTTCATGCAATCGGATCCAAGTTATCAGTATACAGTGAGAGTCTGTGTCGCATAGATATCTGTACAGCACGTTATTTTGACTGATCAGCTATAGTTTATAGCGCCGTTTTTCATTCATTTAGCTACCAGCTTTGCACTTGCATTGACCACTGGTCCATTGCCCTGTGTTTAGCCTTCCGACGAACCTCGCGTCTGCTAGTGGGACTGCCTTCCTAATGAATCCTAATCAGGCTTTAGCCATTGCCAGCAGTTGTCTTTGATGTGCATTGAGTACCACCATCTCGTCTTGAACGTTGCCATTCATGGCACGCTGACCTGGTATCGTATCGATTAGGGGGCACTTTACGTTATCACAAAAGATGAACAAAGCTGCTGGTTTCGTAGACACCGTTATATGCTAGTCTTGCTGTTATTCCGACTGATAAAGTTTCTGAGAGGACCATTCAGGAAGGTAGTAAGTAACAGCTGATAAGAAAAGGAAAATAAATAAGCAATTTCGAGATTTTTTTATCTAGGGCACAATCGGCACAGGGGGAAGTGGAGTAGGGCGTGAAAATATTGAAGAAGGAAGAAGAGGAGGATTTTCTTGATGACAGACGTGAAGACGACAATCTGCAGTATTTTCCATTAATTTCAGATTATTACTATCAGACTTTGTTTATCGCTTCATGCCTGATAGTTTTTGTGCATTTCTGCTGATTAAGGCTTTTCATGATGCTTTTGGAATAAGGGATGGGAAATGGGTTTATCAGAGAAGTAACGAAGTTCGTAACCCGAAACCGTTGACTTTCCTGTTGTGGATAACTGGGTCACTTCAGTACTGGGTCCTATTAATTGGAAGGAATTCAACTCAGATAAAAGTCAAGCCCTATATCTACAAGCTAGAAAAATCTCATAGTTTTGCGCCCTGAAAATACCATTTCCACTAGTTAAATTATGAAAAAAAGCGTTCTTCGAAGTATTGGTGATGCTGCTTGCTGGATATATGATATCATCCATTGTCATGACATTATTTCAACAGTTTGTTAATTTTTGTGCTCGGATATTGTTTTAAATTTATTTTAAAACGTGGGTCTTTGAAGGGATGATCCGCGATTGCCGACTGTCCGAGGAATCCTCCGGCGTGGATTGACAGTGGAAGGATTAAAGCAGTTTATTGTTGCTCAGGGTGGCAGCCGTGCGATTGTCATGATGGAATGGGACAAAATTTGGTCTTTTAATAAAAAGGTTAGTTGATTTTCGGGTTTTTATCCGAGATTTCAATTATATTCACCCTCAATTCTTATAACGCTTCAGGTGATCGACCCGATTGCGCCTCGTTACACAGCAGTAGCATGTACTGATGGTCCTGTTCGTGTTACAGTGGTGGATGCTGTTCGCGAAGAATCGAAAGAAGTACCTCTGCACCCGAAAGTACGTCGAAATAGATGAATGTCTGATTTATTCAATAATTTATTCGCCTAAATTACTCTTATATATTTTGGAATTCGTTTTTCGTTTTCTAATTTTTTCATGAGTTTTCCGGGTTTTGTGAACTTAGGGTCTTTTTTTAATATCCCGTAGAGTTTCTTTACTTTTACTATTCTGAGTAATAGAGTAATTTTATGCCTTCTTGCATAATTTTATGCCAGAATTATTAAGACAATTGTTGTAAAGATCCGATGATGCTGTTGAAATACCATATACTGCAGCGCCACGTCAGGCAGTTCGATTTTGAACTTCTGCCACTTATGGCGAAGCGGTCGTTAATTTTTCCAAGGTGCCATCTACAGGAATACGGCGTCTATCAGCTAGCTGTAGGGTTAACGACGCACCCGTCTGGTTGGATTTCACCCCCCTGTTTGGTCCTTTGTGACGGTTGAGTAATAAGCGGACTTTATCTATAAATAGTTTAATTTTTTCTCTTCCGCTGTAAGTTTGCATTGTAACCATGGAACTTTTATTACTTATATTTGCCTGTAAAGCAGTTATTCGATTATTGATCATTAAATGCTTGTTTAGAACGCAGATGTTGGGATGAAAACGATTTGGTATAGCAAAACGGTAGAAATAGAAGAAATGGATGCGAAACAAATGAAAATGGGCGACACTGTGACTTTCATCAATTGGGGAAATATGAAAATTTGTGATATTGTGAAGGAAGACAATAAAATTACCGAAATAAAAGCAAGGCTGGACTTGGAAAATAAGGTAATTTGTATTTTATAGCATTTTTGATCCTGGTCCTTGGCAGAATTCAGTAAAATATTCTGTTTTTTTTTCCAGCAGAGGATCGTAGAAGTGCTAGCTGATGCTAGAATGTCAGCAGTTGCCATACTGTAGAAATTGTTGTAAGAAGTTTGGATGTTATTTAGGATTATAAGAAGACATTAAAAGTGACGTGGATTGCTGAGACGAAACGCGGCCCGAAAATTCCGGTAATTGCAGT